AATAACGTTGCCACACCTCTGTCTTCTACATTCGAACATTTGAGATCCAGAGCAGGGGTGGAAGGTCTTATTAATGACCACCAAAGTCAGAGCAGTTTCGGCATCGCCGTTATAGTACTGAGGGTCAATTTGGACAGTGACAGCCCCACTAAGGCTGTCTATCTACTGCCCGTTCTGAGCGAGGTACTGCGACCCCTGGCAGATGTAAAGACATCTCCTTGATAGCTGGGATCGCCAGCTAACGCGCCGACATACTTGCGGCCGTGGATTATCTTTTCCTCGCAGTCAGAGAGGTAGAACACTGTGCCACGGGCAGGGTAGTCTCTGCGTAGTTCAAATTTGCCACCGCGGTAATGAACAGAGAGATAATGGCTGGTGACTATAAACCGGAACGGTCTATCGAACCCTTCGTCCCCCATCTGGCTCACCACCCGCCTAAGTATCTGTGAAGCTGGTATTTAGCCTGCTGATACTGTGATACCTCAGAGAGTGACGTATTAGCCCTGACATCTAGGAATTAACGGGATCAATATTTCTAGTACCTATACAGCTCTGCTGTTCACTGAGAATAGACAGGCTGAACAGAAGAGAATTTTTTTGTTTTCCGATGAACTGATATTGAACTAGCGTCTCGTGACTGATCATACATAATACCCTCTACTTGATCTTGCGTCTTGGTTCGCTGTCGTCAGTGGGCACGTGACCATCGGGGGCACCAGGAGGCGGTTAGGGGCTGCCCTTCCAGTCCTGTGCATGAGCTTTGACCGCCTTCTGATGGTTGGATCTCGAAAACCGACGCGACCGGTAATTGCGCCCTGAAAATTCGGAAAGCCTCATGCACTGGCGGACAGTATAATCCTTTTTCAAAGCCCAACTGGCTGATTATCGCTCTAGAATCCGTCCGCGTAGAGCTCGCTATGATCGCGCTTGACGCGACTCAATACACGGGCGGTCGCGATCACATTCAGCTCCCGCATACAACAGGGGTAGCAGGTCTGGGGTTCGCGAGCCTCTTGCCTTGCGCGGATAATGGCATGAACTCGCGGCGTCGTGGTGTCCGAAACTGATCTGGATGATCCCGTGGCAGTTTGAAGGCTAGAGGTTTGATCGTGATGAAAGCTTCCTAATGGGGTGTCTCAAATCATGTTAGCGCAAATCTTTTCCGACGCCTCGCCGCCCCCCTTCCAACAGAAGATGACCAAAAGCACCTTGTCAGGCATCAGTCATTTCTCGTATGTTCGTGGCTGTCACAGACAGATCAGTCGCCCTCTGGCGCAGGATGATCTCTGTGAAGTAGTACTGAGGTTTTGCCGCGGCTAGTAACTGCAGACTACTGGCGGTGATCAAGCAACATGACCACCAATTCTATTCGCCCGAACGCGTTTTCTAAACAAATACAACACTCATAGAGCTGACTGAATGTCGAGAGATGATACCTGTGTGCTTCAATGGGCATGTGAGGGGAGAAAACACAGAAGGCGAATTTGATTTTGTGACGAATGGGATGCACATCGCATTTTCAGGCGGACCCGAGCTGGAAAACAAAGCAAAGGCAGCAAGCACAGCAAACAGCGGCAAAGGTCGAAAACCCTTCTTCAAGCTTCCAAAGGCCACGTCAGCTTCTTGGACTTGGCGGACGAACTTTAGTGGGCTTCAGGGCCTTCAGGTGAAGGACTGAAGGTAGGGCGGCACGGGCGCTAGACCCAACGAGTCGCAAAAAAGAGGTGAACACGGACATACAACAGTAGGGATTCGCATGTGGTCACCCACCATACTACTAACCTACCGGCGTGTGGCTTAAGTACGGCTGAGCGGACGGGAAGCCCTGTTCTCCACACCCTGTGGTCGTATGTACCATCTCCTTTGTGGAGAGATTTTATGTAGAGGACAAAACTCGGGTATATCCTAACCCCAACTGATTAACAGGACAATTGTGAGGAGCAGTCTTCGGAGCATTTCGATAGTGATCGACTGATGTGGGTCAGTCAGCATGCCTTCATTGGCTCGTTCGCCAATAGAGCCTGGAGGGCCCGGTCACTGCCACACTGTTGTCCTGCCTCGGCCGTCCCGAGGTCAGGAAGATGGACTGCATTCTTAAGGCAGACTCGGCACAACCCTTCATCATCGGTCTCCGTACTGGCGTCCCATTGGCCATATCGTCCATATGGGCTTACCAACGTGTACAACGACACTGACCATGATAACCCTCTGTATTTTCCCTACAGCCTCAAGGCGGCTACCCTGGGTCTGTGGGGCACCAAAGGCAGGCGTAATTTTAGATTTTAGAGTACATATCCCGGCCGATGACTCTGAACGTTGGCGGTTGTGGGGTAGTAGGATGAAACGGTCAAGGTGCACTCCTCCGCGTCAAAGCCACAATTCCATCCTGGTGGCCTGGGGAGTACATAACTCTGGTGTCTGCTCGGCGTGTTTCTGTCCATCCTGCCTCTCAGTCTCATGCGCATACGTTTTCACTCCCAGTACAATCCCGTGTCCGCTGCCAGTTCCCTTACTCGGTCAACTCGGGCCATATGAATCATTCAGTACCCGCCCTTATACATCGTAGGCGACTCAATGGAACTTAGAGACGTAGTCTCATCTCAATGGCTTTGGAATGCTTCGCTGTATATTACTGTTATCTAACTGAATTCAGCCTCTTTGTTGTACGGCCAGCGTTGCAAGCCTCCATCCGATAGGTACTGTATGTCGTATTCCCCTCACCGAGTACTTAGTACCCGAGGCGATACTCTCCTTGAATGAGGAGGGAACACAGTGTTTCTGGAGTAAACGCTGCAGTCCCATGACTCAGTGGGCGACGCAAACTCGTTTTCTGAGAGCGGCAGGCCTTCTTCTCTCGAAGCGTACTAATCGTGCAGCTCCGATATGGGATATATCCTGTTGTTGCGACCATTCCGTATGTTCCACCTAGAAGCCATGGTGAAAGCAGGGAAAGGTGATTACTTGGATGTGTAGCCTGACGCCAGATCCACTTTTGGATACGGCGTTGATAGTATCACCCGCGGTGGTATAGACAATATCAAGGTGAAAATGCTGTTGAAATACATCTGGTACCTCTTTTGCGACGCATATAGAAACCGACCCGCAGTGAAAAACCAGGAGCGGAACATGGCGGCCAAAATAGCCCGCCTAGCAGAGTAGGGGTCGTCGTCGGGGATCGCCAGGGTTTCGATGCGCTTCCACAGGCCGATCTCGAGAAGGAGGATTCCGAGGAAGTACGCATTGCAGGCGTGTGTGTACCGGAGTTAATCTGACTAGTCCACCAGTCGAGATACAGAGGCCATTAGACCGTTCGGCCATATCAAGAGCCACAGACATCCATCAAACACACATTCAAGACTCACCCTCCCCGCGACAACCCACTAATGTCTCCCTACTGTACTCTCTCGTCGAGACACCGGCGATCTTCCACCGCGGTAGCTCAATGCTATCCTCCGAGACGGCTGCCCTTATCCTGCCATAGCTGTTGCTGGTCGCCGAGCTGAACAGGCTCAGCCTTCCCAAGTTCACAAACCCCCTCCACGAACTCAGTGAATCTCTAATCAAGGAGCGGTGACTCATCGGCGACGCGATGTCGTTTCTAGTCTTGGAGAGCGCGGAAATCAGCGGGAGACAGCTGCAGATTACGCCGACACCTGCTTCGAGTATTCTGTAGATCGTGAGAGGTTGTCTTTAATGGCCAGTGGGGCATAAAGTTGTATGGCAGGCTGGCGGTGGTCCGGTAAGGTACATACATACCCGGCGATGTAGATCGGAAACGTTGGGTCTTGATAATCTATCTTGAACCGATGGGTGCATCCCATTATACTCATGGGAAGGCATGTAAAAGCCTTGACCCCGAGGATTTACACGACGCCGGTCCAAAACACCACCGCAACCCGCCACTTCCTCTTGCCGTCAAGATGCAGTTTCGAAACGGCAGATAGAGGCAGGCAGATCATATACACGTTCATTAACGACCTCAACGGCCCCGACCATGCGCGCGACCTTGCCCAGAGGTACTCTCTCCCCGAAGATAAACGCGAACACAAGGGGCGGATGGTGCATGAAGCAAAATATCATACCAGTGCATATCGCGAGCTTGACGGGGCGGCTCATGCTAAAGAGTCGGAGGGAGAGGAGCAAGAGAGTCACTTCGGTGAAGTCGATGGCTATTAGCACGATGTTCGCTACGAAGCCCACACTAGTCATCCTTCTCACATTATAGCTCATATTCCCTTTCACTTTTCCTCTCTCTATTCTACCTCAACATAAGCAGAAGACATAAGCAGAATCCGTTCCTAGCTACGCAGCCCAAAGGTCCCCTTACGTAAAAGACCCATGGCTCCATAGTGGCAGAGGGCAACATGTATGGATTTTAAAAAGAGTTTGCTCATATAGAACGAGGGTGTACCCGGCTTGAAAGATATGCACTATGAGCTAACCCTAACTACCTCAACTAGACCCTTATAGTATAAATTGATGATGTTATAGACAATGTAGAACAAAATGCCATGCACTAGGTGGTTGCAGGTGACCGGGCCTCGTTTTTTCGGTCGTGCTCCACGTTCCTGGCCTTGGCAGTCAGGTGATTGACGCTTTACCTTTTCTAGCCATGTATGATCTTTTAAGCCACCGGAGCTATTTCAGTACCAATACACAAAAATACTTAAATACTTAATAAGTAGTTATTAAGTACTTAAAATATAGTACTAGTTTATATGTATGTCAAGTGTACCTTGTAAAAAATATCTTTAAAAGGACTTAAAATGTATTATATCTTGTGGGTTATACCTTGTATTTCAGAAACGACAGATTAAATACTTGCTGATTAATAGTCTTGGCGGTCATGTGAAGGGCATATATGTCACGCAGCCACGTCTTTTAGGTGACGTGACCTGTGTACACCATGCACTAGTTAGTTAATAGTAGGCTTCCTGCTTATGTAATCTAAAAAGGTGGTGCACAGGCTGTTATGAGTGCACATTCCCAGCCAGCAAAAATAGTCCCACCCGGGATCGAACCGGGAACCTCTACGGAGCTACATGTATCACATGATAAATCACGTGAGGTCATGTGAGCGGAGCGTCATAACCATTAGACCATAGGACTGAATATAAAATACCATATTTCACGTCAAAATTATCAAGTTAGTTGCTTTTTTTCGCGCCCTGGCTTCAGAAAAGGCGTTTTCTTGATTTCGATATGGTATAAAAAGTCATGCTTCCGTGCTATGTGACGTATAAGTTCGTAGCTAGTATACTACATACTAACCCAGCTTCTTTTATGCATTCAGAGGACTCGATTCGCTATGGTTGTTGATTATTCTAACTTTGAGAGTGTTGAGCGGAACAATATATCTTGGGGTGTCACAAGACTCGTGTCATAAAATGTACTCCCTAGTACAAATTTGCAGGGCTCTATGTAAATATATAACATTAGTGATCTAGCATCACCATGTATTCAACAACTCCTACAGAAATGATCAAATTTGGGATGAAATTGGCTGAAATGCCTCGTGCTGGTGGTTGAACGAATGGCTGGAAGAAGATACGGCGCGTTTATTCACCTCTGAAACAAGTGCCTAGTGCGGATTGGAACTTACTACTGAAACCCTTAATGTGAGTGCCTTGGCAAATGGCCAAAAAAATCAAGTGGTTAACCAGAACTCCGCCAAATGAAGAGGACATTCATGGTTCTTCAATGACAGGCAATTGAGCTCTGGTCATGTGAGCATGAGAGCATGACGTCTCGAGAAGCACAATTGCACTGCAGTATTCAGATAAGTGGGTGAATATTGCTGAGTTAGAGCCTATGATGAGAAACATAATTATCGAACTGTAGCCTGACACTACAGCTTCAGATGCAGTACCCCTTGGTTGAAGACAGACAAAGTCATCACAGAATCATCCACTCCATCATGGTGTATATTTTTTGCTTTGTCAAGTACAAGTAAGTGTGGGCCACCCGGACATGCTTCATTTTTAATTCCAACCTGGCGCCGGAGGCCGTCTCTTGCCAGATCAAGTAAGCTGTCGAATGACTATGCGAATGAAGGGGAAATTGAGAGTCATCGATCCGCCCATGATAAGAGAAAACATACCTAATCTGGTGCCTATATTGGCCCTCGCTTGCAATCTGATGTCCGTTTACACACACACGGTGATGTCTTTGTAGGCGGAGCCCCAAACGAAAAGGGGGTTGTCCCCGAGAGCTTCAAACAATTGACGGCCAGACGGTGGCGGGAAGGGTTGGACTTGCGAATCGAGATCACTGCTTACCTCGCTGCTCGAGATTCTCGAGCGGCCTGCTTAGCTATCGCCACCAGGAGATAGACGCTGTATAAGCGCCTGGATTGCTGCACTTGGCTGCAGACAGTCTTGGTCAAACATGCGATGCACCATATGTTCCGCACCCAAATCCATGCCGTGTGTCACCTCGAGAAGCTCGTATACCCTGACGATGTTCCTTTGCGTGGTCAGAGTACATCCCGCCACCCATACTACGTATACTCTCCGTCTTGACGCGTGTGATTATAGCAATATTGGGTGTCGTCTGATCGCTTGTGATACCTCTGTACATCGCAGCTAATGCACGTTGAATAGCTCGGCCCCTTGCTAGCACGGCTCGGTAGGGCTGTATGAAAAAAAGTGGCGCTATACATCAAAAATATATCCCATGTCTGAACACGAATAGAGGTGGTGTTGCGTTAATTCTAATCTTCGTTAAGCATTACCGCAAGAACCTGCCCCCAAACCTGCAGAGGAACAGTGGATTAAGGTCGGTCATGGTAGGGTCGTCCGCGGCCTCCACGGGTATTGTTAAATCCGAACCCGCACAAAGTCTCGTATGCGGCTGCCATTGTGTTGATTGACTGGTAGGAGGTTTGAGAAATGTAGTGATCGAGGGAAGACGCCGCGAAGAAGGAGGAGGAGGAGGAGTCAGTAGATAGCAAATTCTTCAAACCTCACTGAGGACAGACAGTGCGGAGAAGGTAGATTCGAAGAGCCACGGAAGTTCAAGAAACCGTCAGACGCTAAATATGAAGGAAGGAACACTACAGGTGGTGATGGATATGAGACGGAGGGGAGGAACTGAGTAGCACTTAGGGCTACGCATCTCCATTTTACTGCGTTGCAAATGGCTGGCTGTCCTTTAAAATGCACAAATAGGTGCTAGTGTCCAACAGCTAAACTTCATACATATATGAAAACTTAGTCAGCCCTTTTTGAATCAAAAATTATCCCGGATTCGAGATGTGAGCAACGAGCAAAAAGCATAGTCGCGCCCGGGATCGAACCGGGAGCCTTTCCGGTAATCTGTGGTGAAGCAGAATAGACTCATCATGTGACTAGTCACGTGTGAACGGAAAATCATGACCATTAGACCACGCGACTTGAGATTATAAATACTTCTTGCAAGAAGAATTTATAAACCGAAGTCAAAATTAACCGAACCGAGGTTGGGTTTTGGCAAAATCGCGGGTGGATATCGGCCCGTCGCGCACAGGCGGCTACCGTAAACTTTAAAGTCAACCTGCAGGACTGTCGGCATGTATGCCTGAGGCATTAGCAGCCGCAGCGAGGTCAGGTGGTGCCACACCATGATTCTCCTGCCCGCTCGGCATTCCCATTAGACAGTGAATACCAAGCGTTTCATGCCATCAAAGACTCGTGGACGGTCGACCTTATCAATTTCTCAAGGACCTCACCAATCTCGATTCCTCTCACTGAATTGCCGAAAACTTGCCGTTTTCTCATCTGTTCAAGGCCTTAACAAGTCGTTCATTCAGATAGCTTTTAGATCTCTCATTTCTTCCAATTCCACAGTCCTTTTACTGTCGCAGCTCCTTCCTAGCCATACAGGCGGTCGACCGTTGACTCGCTTGATCATTCCCGTTCTGCCATAGTTGCTTGTAACATAATAAATAAGGTCCTCGCTTCAGGATTTTCCTCACCAGCATAGAGAGAGGATTGAAGCTACCAATTACGTGCCTGTTTCCGAGATAGCTTCGTCTTCTGAAGCTAGCTCCTCCTTCCTCTCGTGGCTTCGCGGTGATATTACATCGAACATGGCTCTGGATATCATCCATTTCCGCCTCTTTGAGCCATCCTCTACAACACTAGCCGTCGGTGGCCGTTTACGCATTGACGATCGAGTGTGACGTGTGAGTTCTTTCGTCCACCCAAGCATCGAATTGATTGAACTGTCGGTCTTCGCTTTGGAGATTAATCCACCACCATGTATGTAATGTCGCCTTCAAGGTAAAAAAGTATATTTCTGTGCAGGCTTGACCTAATTCCGCGAATTGAAACGGGGCAAAAAGATTAGTCACGCCCGGGATCGAACCGGGAACCGTTCCGGCATCTACGATTGTAGAAGTAATCAGATGACTGATCACATGTTAACGGAAAATCATGACCATTAGACCACGCGACTTGTTGTTATATCCACGGAAAATTGTTGCTATCATGAGCAGAGACTGAAATCTAGGGCACGAAGGCGAGCACTCGAGACTCATTTAAATGCGCCATGTGGGGCCTTCGTCCAATCGCTTTAATACATCCAGAGACGGCGCATGCTAACCCTCCCGCGCGCGAGCCACGCCGCGCGGTGATATCACACAATAGCCTATTGATCCGGATCTCTAACTATGTTCTTCCTTGTATCATTAAAGTGGAATGAGGCATTTCTAAGCGTGCTCTGAAAATGTTGCAATCGATGGCTATTCTGACAAATGCTGATTCTCTCGGTCGACTACATATATCAGGACTACTCAGTGGTAGAGCAAGGGAGGAACTCATCTGCCAAAAGACCATACTATCTTCCACAATGTCTTCAAACATCCTGCTTACTGGCGCAACCGGCTACATGTAAGTAGTTTCTGCCTTACTGCAACTTTGACTCAACGTTCTCTAGTGGAGGTACCCTCCTTCGCACCCTCCTCTCAGCGAACCTGGTCCCACCCTCCAGCATCTGGGCGATTGTGCGCTCCGACGCCCAGGCAGAGAGCCTCAAGCCTCTGGGAGTGAATACCACACAGATAGCATTGACAGATGACGTCGAGATAAAGCAGGTTATTCTTGACAATAGCAGTGAGTATCTATTTCATCTCGTGTGGAGACCAGACGCATGACTGACAATGCATAGTCGACATTGTCATCCACACAGTCAGCGTCGTCGATCCTACCCTCGCGGCTTCCCTGTTGAATGCCCTAAAGGCAAGGAAAGAGCTCACGAAGCGACCTGTGCACTTCATCCATGTATGTTATTTTTTCAATCTACATCGAGAACTCGCGAGCTAACCAGGTAGACCTCGGGCGTTAGCGCCTTCGCCGATAAGACGGGCTGGACCCATGGAGTGGCTAAAGAGACCGATGACCTATACGAGCTACAAAGAGGGTCTGAAGCACCTTATCCCGTTCGCGAGGTAAGAGCCGCCATCTCTTCTACTTGCTAGGGATACTGATGTTTAGACCGATGTTGCCGTCCATAAAACTGCGGATGAATATGGCATTGCTGTTTATACTGTAGTCCCGCCTCTTGTTTGTGAGCCGTGTCCTACTGGCCCTCAGATGGTTGGGACTCTTTAAGCTGACTACTATGCTAGACGGGAAAGGAACTGGGACAGGGAATAAGATCTCTGTCCAGGTCCCCACCTCGATCAGAGCTGCTATTGCCAACAAGCAAGTCCATCGGTTCGCCGAGAATTCAGTATGTCAATTAGATCTACCAGTTCGCTGGCTGAACCTGGGCTAATGGATAATAGGAATGGCCCGCAGTCCATGTTACAGATCTAGCGGGCTACTACACTCGCCTCATCCAGGGCATCATCGAGGAACGCGGACTCGCAGCAGGAAAGAACGGCTTTTACCTCGTTTCGGCCCATACCTTCAAATGGCACGAGCTCCTCTCGGCCATCGCGAATGACCTTTTCACCCGGGGGCTCGTTTCGACGGCCGAGGTGACCGTGTGGCCGAGCGAGGAGGTCAAAGCGAAGTCCCTGGGTCTTCCATCTCCCTATGCGGATATAGCATGGAACTCAAAGTAAGAACCCGATCCCGACTGGAAAGTTCAGGGTGAATGATATGTGCTAACCTGGATAGTGCCGCCGTACTTCCGCACCATGACAAGGAGCTTGGCTGGAAGCCAGAGTGGAATTACGAGCGGTTCTTTCGCGAGATTGGCGAGGAGGTTGACGCGGTCCTAGAGGCTGGTACTAACGTCAAAGACCTGGCCGGTCTTCTCTCGAGTCTGTCCTAGGCGGAGTTAGCCTTGCATTGGTACGGCTTTAGGCGGTGCAATGACATATACAGAGAAATCGACTTACCTATGTCACGACCTTTGCTTTTCTAGTTTAGTATAGTGTAGTTAAAACGTAGCGCTGATCTTAAATTGAAGTACCAGTAGAGATAGTCAATACGTTGAAAAAAGTCGCCAGTAGCCTTGCCATTGGCTTCGAAGCTCCCCAAAGGGAGAGAATACGCGCAAACTGCAGTTGACAATGTGCTTTTAAAGGGCCTGGCTAGGCTCGAAAAGAGCATATTTGGATGTGTTCGTCCCCTTGGCAAGCTCGGGCCTGGTTCTTGCATCCGAGTACAGGATGGTCCATTCTATTTCATTAAGCTGCACGGCACACGGGTACTGAGTGTCCCGAAACACGGACCCTGACTCGAAAAAAGTTGTCCCATCATTCAGTAGTCACGCCCGTGATTATTTCATGTATTGAATCAAGTTGAGCTTCAGCGTATGTCTGCGAATTCGACGACTGCGCGAGGACTGCCTCAAAAATTGCAGTTGGTCAGAAACACTTCCCCTTAACGCAAGTGGCACAATATATTTGAAACGCAACCGAGCAAAGAAGCACAAAGGTGGTACGATCGCAGGGTTGTACAACGCTTCCAAGGCTCTCATTTGTAATAGCGACGGGGCTGCACGAACCAGGGGATTCAGCGATGATCTTGCATTACCGTTACAGGAGCTCGCCACGGCGAACATTTATAGTTGGTGATGGGACGCGGCAAGCACGGAGGCCTAAAGTGTCATTATGTGCCCGAAAGCTATCTTGTTGTCTGGACTGAGAATATGGTCAGATCTGCTAATTAGCGCAGACGGCACGAGATGATCGAGAAAAGAGCGGACTGAGCGCGGGCTAGCGCGTTGCATTTCGAATAGACGACACTGCCTTTAAGATATGACCATCTCGGCTACCAGGATAAGCCGGCCGGCGCATCGCAAGAGCCTGCGAAATGGGGGGAACCGACGGGGAGTCTGGGTCAACCTGAGTGCCCCGCGGGACGACTCTTATCTACTGAGACTCGTCTCGAACTCGTTGAATTGACAGTCTCTACTTCTTCCCCCCCACCCCCCCCAAGACCCACGATGCCTTCCACGTACCACGACGACGTCGTCCTGCCAGCGACCCCCGAGCTCCCTACCGATGGACCGAGTGCGCGAACCATCGCAAAATAGTGGGTATCTCAGTTGAGCACGCAACTAGCGAGCAATGCAACGGATCTCTCTGATCTACTCCACGACGACTCGTGGTGGCGCGACATGCTCGCCTTCGACTGGGACTTCCATACCCTACGAGGCCGGAACCAGATCACGGGCTTTGTCACAAAGCATCAGCCTCGGGCGCAGATGAACAGCATTCGCTTGGTGACTGGATTAGGGCAGGGACCTGTGGTGGAAACGCCGCAAATGGGGACGACGTGGGTGCGCGCGATGTTCGAGTTCGAGACGTACTGTGGGCGTGGGATTGGGGTGGTTTATGTCACCCATGGAGATACCTGGAAGGCCTTTGCGGTGTATACTGCTCTCCAAGATATTTCCAAGTTTGTAGAGCGGGTTAGCCGTAAGAGGCTAGAAGGCACAGTCGAGTCTCTACCAGGCGGACTTGGTCAACGAACGTGGAGCGACCGACGCCAGATGCAGGTTAAGTTCAAGGACGAGGAACCGACCGTCCTGGTCCTTGGCGCTGGCCAGTCAGGGCTGAATATCGGTGCGCGGCTGCGGAGCATGGGCGTCTCATGCGTCGTTATCGAACAGAACGACCGCGTCGGCGACAACTGGCGGAACCGGTTACCGGACGCTCGTGCTGCACGATCATGTCGATGTCACCCACCTCGCCTACCTACCGTTCCCAATTCTATGACCCAAGTACTCTCCCAAGGACAAGCTGGCGGACTGGTTCGAAGGATACGCAATGGCCATGGACTTGAACATCTGGCTCCAGTCAACTGTCACATCAGCCGTGTACGACGACGACCAGAGGCGATGGTCAGTCACAGTTCAGGACAGCGATGGCGAGCGGGTTTTCGAGCCCCATCACATCGTCTGGTGTGGCGGCCAATTTGGCGTTGAGAAGATCCGGCACTTTCCGACGCAGCCACTC